TGTTCGTACGAACCCTTTGTACGAACAAAAGTAAGAGAAATTTAGGATAAGAATACGAACGTTCTTGCATGAGGCCCAATGTCCCCCATCCTGTAATAGTTAATGCTCAAAAGCAGAGATGGAAACACATTTGCCGAATAAGTTCTGACGTAGCGATCTTTTAAGCAGGCAGTATGCATGGGATTTCTTCTAGGTGGAGTCCAATGTGAAAAAAAAAGTCAGACTCGTCACCCGACATTATTCATTGTCAAACTGGTGTCGGATTAAGCTCCTAAGTTTTCATCAGTCACATTTCACAGTGTAAAACATCTGTTTTATCCCCTTGCATGAGTTTGTAATGGTTTGACTCTCTTTATAAAGTGCTTCCTGGCTCCCCTGTCTCCAAACTTTGAGGCCCGGCAGCTCTCTGTTTACAAGCTAGTAGCGAGAAACTGTTTTGATTGGTTGTAGGGCTGCAACAACGAATCAATAAAATCGATAAACATTGATTATTAAAAGCGTTGGCAAYGAATTTCATTATTGATTCGTTGTATCACGGGATTTATGCGTCCTTCGCCGTGTCGCGGAGCTGATTACGTCACCCGCACAGCGTTGTCAATGCTGGCTGACCTAAAAGTTTAGGAAGAAAGAAAAAACTCTACCTGTAAAGAKCCRCCCTCTCTGACTCTCGAGTGAAAAGCAGAGACTACRAACTTTAAACCAGTTTTTAAATCGTGTTGTTAGCAAAAGTAGATCTTAAKATATGATAAAAAGTAYATGCTAAATTTATTCTTTTTAAAAGACGTCTGATTTGATGCAYGCCACGTCGCGAGGAGGAAGTGTGTRCGGGGAGGAGGGAGACCTAAATCCACCGTTTCGTCCTCCTCTCAGGACAAAACTATAAACTCTCCAGTTTTTTTCTGAATGAGGCCCAAAGTTATTTGTTGAGCAGAAAAACGGTTCAGGATGAAGGGGGGAAAAAAAGACGCGATCGAGCAGCAGGTCTGCAGGGAGAGGGGAGGAGGGGGAGGGGGCTGCTTCAGAACCGGTTACTGGGTCAGAACAATGTTTTAGTCAAACAGAACCAACAAGAATGAAACAAAAAGTAAAGAATTAGAGAAAATATAAATGTTAAATGTAAATAAATTCTAGTTATAATAAATTAATAATAGTTTTACATCTAAAAATCATATTTTATWATTTTAATCTATTTTCCTCATTCAGCAACCTATTAAATTTCTGTTATGTTTCATGTAGGAGAAATACACATTTTTTTCAGTCAATATTTAATACAGCTGTCAAAATAAATTGTTAAAATATGTATTATGTGCTTCTGTTTTTTTTAATTCAGGAGATTATATAAATTCCTTCATTTTATGGGAAGACCCTCTTGATTCAAGAGAAAACTTTGTTTTTTTAAAAAAGTGGCTGCTCGTTAATTAATTGTTAATCGATCTATAAGATAAATCAACTTCAGATTAATTCATTATCAATAACTTGCATCCTTAAGGAGTTAACTTAATTTACATCTACTCATATTCATGTAATTAAGCGTTTTATTATTAAAATAATCGTTATTTGCAGCCGTAATTGGTTGTTTCGGAAATGTGGTGTGTTTGAGGAAATGGGAAAAATTGGTTTCATGGTGCAGTCACGCACTTCGTGGTCACAAAACATTCTGTAAATGTGCATTATTATGGCAAAAATTATTCATCATTAAATCTGGTTTTAACATTA